TTGGCAATATCTAGAGCCACATTTGGTTATCAAAGTTTGGGATTACAGATTTGGTGGGTAGAAGCCAGGGATGTTGCTCAACATCCTATATAATGCCCCAACATAAAAAATTGGCCCAAAATTCAACAGTGCAAAGGTTGAGAAACCTAGAGTAAAGAATGCTAATTTTTTACCTGCAGGACTTCTCAGCACCTTTAAGAAGTAAATTGCATTCTCAGTCCCCCCAGCTGCATAGGAGTTTCCCAAGCGCGTTGGCCTCAGAATCTGGACTCCCTGACATATCGCGGGCTGGGTGGCGAGCTGCTGCTGTCACTTTGGGAAGGCTATCTACCTGAAGTGACAGGGCTCAGCAGAGGGAAACTGACAGATAAGATTAGTGGAATTTCACAGGCCTGATAATCTAAAGGCTGGGAGGGGCCCTGTTGGCAATCCTGCCTCCTTCGTATTACAGACAAGGAATCAGGCTCAGGGAGTTGATGGTCACCCAGGCTCTCAAATGAGAGGCAGTAGAACAGAGCTTAAGAGCATAGGCTAGAAGCAGACCGAGTTCAAATCCTGGCCTTGCCTCCTACTAGCTACAGAACCTCTGTGCCTGCGTTGACTGATTGGACTGATTTGTGAAAAGGGAAATAATATCTATTACTATTGAATGAGTTAATACATGTAAGGTGTATAGCATAAGTGTTCAACAGATAGTAGTATTAAGAGCCAGCTAATTTGTGTCCAGTGTGGATTCCAGCCCAGCATCCCTGACTCCCAGGCTGATGTTCTTTCCAGTGTCCTTTCCAGGGCACAGAAGGAGGTGCCCCCCTCCACCTGGTACCCCCGTGCCCTCCAGCAGTCCCCCTTTAGTTCCTGTCAATGGGTCGTGCATATAAGTTCTTTGGCTGCCCCATTTCCTGTACTGTTCTTAACATTCCCCTGTCTGTCTATTCTGTACCTACCAATGTGTACTTCTTTTCCCCATTCTCCCAGCTGATAACCCTCCAGATGATCTCCATACCTATGATTGTATTTCTGTTCTGCTTGTTTGCTTAGTTTGTTTTTTTAGATTCAATTGTTGATAAGTTGTTAATTTGCTGCAATTCAATGTTCATAGTTTTGATCTTCTTTTTCTTAAATAAGAAGATCCCTTTCACATTTCATATAATGATGGCTCGGTGATGATAAACTCCTTTAGCTTTACCTTGTCTGAAAGCACTTTATTTGCCCTTCCATTTTAAATGATAGCTTTTCTGGACAGAGTAATCTTGAATGTAGGTCCTTGCTTTTCATCACCTTGAATACTTCTTGCCAGTCCCTTCTCGCTTGCAAAGTTTCTTTTGAGAAATCAGCTGCCATTCTTATGGGTACTTCTTTGTAGGTAACTCTCTGCTTTTAAGATTCTCTATCTTTAACCTTTGGCATTTTAATGATGATGTGTCTTGGCATTATTTTCATTTAAAATTAAAATGGCTCTCAATATTCATTCATTTAACATCTATTTCCTGAGCACCTCCTCTGTCCCAAGGACTATAGCAGAACAAAATAGACCCCCCCCCCAAAAAAAAAAACATCCTTCCCCTGTAGAGCTTACATTCTATTAGGGGAGATGAATAAAGAAACTAAAGTAAGTGTCCATGTCCATAAACTGAGGGAGAGGGACAGTGAGAGGAAAGGTTGGCCTCTTTGCTTAAAGGCCACAGGCATTAGGCTGAGGGGAGAGTGAGAGGCTCAGCAGGGTTACGCAGAGTCCTGGGCTCCCCACCTCACGCTTGCCGATGCTGTTGCAGGACTCGAACTCATGAGCGCTTAGTGTAGAAACCATGCTCCTTCGGTGTTTGACATGGGCTGTGGTTAAAAAGGACAGGGTAGGACTAGTCACTTGGAGCCATTCCAGCTTCACAATTCCGCAGTTCTGTGTAGAGTCTACTCTGGATTCTTCTTACAGCTCCTAAGATAAGGTCTTGTTCATGGTAAAAGGCAGAATTCCATCATGATTAAAAACAAAGAATTTGAAGTCAGACCTTAATTCAAAACGTGGCTCTAGCTGTGTGTCCTTGGGCAGGTTACAAAACCTCTCTGTGCCTTAGTTTTCCACATCAGTCAAATAAGAAACCATCAGTCCTACCTGATAGTATTGTTGTAAGGATTAAGTGAGATAAAGCATGTAAAGTACAGGGCCTAGAATATAATAAGCTTCCCATAGATAGTACAGTAATTATTAATACTATTAAATGTTGAATGAACGAAAAGAATTCATGGAGTTGATATGAAAACTTGGATAGGCATAGACATGTCATGAACTGCAAAGTGCTGTGCTGGTAAGTTAGCCTATGTGGGACAGAGGACAGGATATATATATAATTAGTGATGGGTTGAGTAAAGAATGGCTTTTATTTCACCTCCATATCGGGGGGGGGGGTCATTTTGAGGCTTTACAACGTTGCTACATTGGCCCCCTATAGGCCAAGTGTTTGGAGAACAGATTCTTTGTAAATAGTCCTTGTGTAAATAGTCCACAGGTCCTGCAGTCCTCAGTCCCAAATTCTCAAGGTTCCTGATGAATGAAATGGGATCGGCCGATACAGGAGCCGTGCATGCTAGTGATGATAAAAATAGCAACTGACATTTGTTGAGAACCCACTATGCACCCAGCATACATGCCAGGCCACGTGCACCCCCTTTCAGCAGCTGGGAAAACTAAACCTCAGGGTAGTAAAGAAAAAGTCAACTGCTGCTAAGTGACAGAGGCAGGAGCCGATGGACTCCAGAGCAGCTTAAGCCCTTCCCACTGATTGCTGCCAGCTGTCCTTGCACGTACACCAGGTGACAAGCCTCTCTATTAAGATGTGTTTTGCATCTCCGGTCCTAATGACATTGCCTTAAACCCAAACTAATGTAAAAATGTAGTGCTCAACTATGAGGATGCCAATCAAAATCCAGGACGGGGCCTTCATTAGTGCTTGATCACGATCAAAATACAAAGATAAGGCCACTGACTGAGACATTGGGTCAGACACTTTAATGAGCTTATATTTTCCTGTTTCAATGGGTTTCTTTAATTCTCAAGTTCAATTCCGATGGGTCTCTTGTTTTGTTCTCTTAAGTAGTTCTGTGAAAAGAGGTATTTTTGGTTTGGATGGTGGTTTAATTTAGCAAGGTTTGAAAGAGAACTCTGCATTCTTAGGCTTTCTGCATGGACTTTCATACTAGGAGTGCACTGAGAAGGCAGGAAAGAGGAATCTTTGGAGGACACGTTAGCTCAGTAATCTGCAGGCAGGTGGTGTGGGTGTCACAATTTTAGGCTGAACTAAACACTTATTAAGTAGACCATACTCAATCGCCATTGTTGGGAGTCAAAAATAATTAAGGATTGGCAAATATGTATAGTTTGACATATTATATGCTATGTACTCAGAAGACAAAGAATTCATTAATGTATCTGGCCTTGCTTCTAATCGAGCAGCAAATACTCACTGAACAATGGTGCATAAGACTCTCAGTACAAAGAAAAGAAAAACCAAAATCCTACCCCCAAGCTCACATCCTAGTTGAGATAAGACAAACCCATGGATTATCAAATAATAATGTGAGAAATTATAGTTTTCTTGTGAGTCCCTGAGCACATGCTAAATGAAGGAGCCTGACCAAGTATGACGGGGCTTCAGAAGAAAGAAAAGGTCATTCGGGGCTAAAATAATACATAAAAGATGAGGCATTTGAATCGAGCAGGAAGGAATGAACAGGCAGAGCACAGAAAATGGAAACATCAAGATATAGTCTATACATTCAATTTGAACCAAAGAAGTCAAAATCCAAGTAGAAAGACAAGGTAAAGGCAGCTTATGACAGGCTCAGTATCAAACTGCGAAGCTGTCTCTTTTATTCTCATAAGTGGAAATGAGCTGAAGCCTTTGAGAGAGATGGGAGGTGCCTGAATATGAGGGCCCGTGAACACTATACCGAGCGGGGCCAAGGTTTACAGTTATGAGTAGGCGAAACACAGTTTATTCTTGTATTGTTATTCATTAATTGTTGTATTTTCCATAAGAACAACTGTAAACCTATGTTTGCCTCTCCCTATGTACCAAAGACATGTTAGCCACAGTTTGCTGATGGAACTGAGGTGCAGTGCAGTTAGGGGACTTGCCAAAGATCACCCAACAAGTAAGTGGCAGTCTGGCAACAAGGTCCCATTATTAAACACCGTGATCCAGGAGACATAAAAACATATGGCCACACCAAAACCTGTACATGAATATTCATACTAGCCAAAAAGTAGAAACCACCCAAATGTTTATAAACTAATGAATTGGTAAAGAGAGCGTGGTATATGCATACGATGGAATGTTACGGAGCTGTTAATAGGAATGAAGTACTAATACACGTTACGACATGGCTGAACCTTGAAAACATGATGCTAAGTAAAAGAAGTCAGACACAAAAGACCACGCATTATAAGCTTCCACTTAGTGGGAAATTTCCAGAATAGGCAATTTCATAGAACCAGAAAATAGTTTAGTGGTGGCCGAGGGCTGTAGGGCTAGGGAATGAGGAGTAACTGCTGATGGATATGGGGCCCTTTTGAGCGGGGGGATGAAAATAATCTAAATTTAGAGTGTGGTGTGACAGTTGCATGATTATGTGATTATACTAACACTACTGAACTACGATCTTTAAGTGAGTAAATTTTATGGTATACAGACTGTATTTAAGCATCTAAGATGACTCTGGGCTTTGGTATGGACAGAGACACCCAGAAACAAAGGGAACTGTGAAACCAAGTTAGATCCTAGACCTGCAGCTGAGAAATGGTCAGTGCCAGGTGAATGGATGGGACGGAAAACACAGGAACCAGTGACAGTTTTTTCTGCTGACGGCTCTCTGTTAGCCACTCACTTCCTGCGGACGCCAGCCCGGCTCCCAGCTAGACCGCCGGCTTTCCAGCTGGCCTGAACATGTCAGAGTCCATTGATACGAATGTGCTCAGTTCATCTTGTTTTGCTCTTGTTCCACAGTTTTTGAAGAGCCGGAAGATCCAAGCAACAGGTCGTTTTTCTCTGAAATTATCTCTTCGATTTCGGACGTGAAGTTCAGCCACAGCGGGAGGTATATCATGACCAGGGACTATCTGACCGTGAAAGTCTGGGATCTCAACATGGAAAGCCGCCCCATCGAGACTTACCAGGTACAGACCACCCCCACCCATGGGTGTATTGCACACTTCCTTTGTGGGCTTCCAAATCAGCCTCTGCCTGCAAAGGCTCATTGCAACGCAGAAAAATCAAAATGGTACAGCCTATTCACAGTGTGATTTGCCAAACAATTTGAAGGAATTTAGGGAGGAGGCGATGGTGGCCAGCTGCGCTGGAATGGTGGCGCCCAGGCAGAGACACAGGGTGGGGGGAGAGTGTGGAAGGTTTGCTAACTACTTGGGTGGGGAGGTTTTGGGCTTAAGAATCACCCAGGTGGTTTGTAGACTTACTGACAAAAGGACAAAGGAGAAGGCATTGTTTAGAACGGTCAGTTTGCTTTTTAAAGAGGAAGACTAGACAGACTGTGAGGTAGAAAGGACTTGAAGAAGCTGATTCCAGGGAAGTGTACAATGAAAGCAAACCTCAAGAGGCAGGAGTAAACTAGTCTTATTTTAAGATATCTTGGGTTAGATAAAAAGAGGTAGGGAGATTCTAGACAAGGAATTTGGTTTACGTATTTCTTCTTGAGATAGAATGCACATACCATAACACTCACCCTTCTGCAGCGTGCAATTCAGGGTTTTAATCTGTGCCCAAAGTTATGAAACCATCGCCGCTATCCAATTCCAGAATATTTTTATCATTGACCGACATTTTAAAATAAATAGTCTGAATGTGCTGGGGACGAGAGACTATAAGGGAGACAGGGGGAGGAGACAGTATAGTTAGGAAGTTATTGCTGCATCTGCAAGGGGTGTTGGTAGCTTAAGTGGCACTATTAGCAGTGGAGTTGCCAGAGTCTTGATATATTTCCAAGGTAAAGCCAATAGGATTCGATGTGGGATGTAAGAGGAAAAGAAGCACCAAGGATCACTCGCAAGGTGTCCTTCCTGAGCAAAGTGGAGCTGCCATTCCATTTGGACAAGGATGTTGAGAGTCTGGTTTTGGACACGTTTAATTGGCTCAACATCCAGAAATGGCAAGTAGACAGCTCAGTGTGAGTCTGGATAGATCTAGCCTAGAGAAAAGAACAGGTTTGGAACTGTGTCCTGGGGTGTGTTGCCACATTGGGTAGAGAAGTGGATTTGTCACAAGAGGTTGGGAAGAAGGGCCAGGCAGGTAAGAGGAAAACTGACAGGAATGTCCTGGGAGCAAAATGAAGAAACTGTCCCAAGGAACAGGGAGTCATCAACTGCCAAGTGCCGTTGCTGAATCAGGTAAGAAAGGATTGCGACTTGACCATTGGATGTAGTTAATGTTGAGATTCTTGGTCAACTTCAGTGAAAGAGGTATAGGCGAAGTGATGAAGGAATGTCTGTCTGGAGTAGGTTCAAGACAGACTGTGAATAGAGAATATAAGCATAGTGAGTACAGATATCTCTTAATTTTATTCTGAAGGGGGAACAGAAAAATAGGATATAAGCTTAAGGAATTTTTATGCTGATGAGGAGAACAAGTCCATTGCAGAATTGGCCTTAGATGGGAAGATGGAGAATTCATCCATCAAAGAAAGAAGAATGTGTAGTCACAGGCACAGAAGGCTTGTAAATTATGTGGTGGGAACATATAGACAGTTTCTTCGTATTATATTGATTTTCTCAGTAAAATGAGAAGGTCATCAACTAGCTGAGGGGGAAGAAAAAGTGTAAAATACTCATCAAAGAGAGTGAATTGACTAGGGAAACATGGGGTTGCTCAGGGATCCACTTGAGGTTTATATTATTGACTTAAAGTGAGACTATCTATACGATTTTATGTTTCTTACAAGCCACATTCACTTGTGTGGTACAGGAATGCAAGGGAAGAAAGTTAGATTTAGTCAGTGATGGGGATTTGGCAAATTCATACAATAGAAAGAAAAAGGCAAATTTGTTAAAGGTATATAACAGGGAGTGATTGCAGTGATGGGCCACTGAAGCTAAGGTAGGTAAGGAGAGAAATAATGGATAGAGGAAAGTCAGATCAATGGATTTGAAGAATTGATTAGATCAGGAAGTAACAATTGAGCGTTACTTGTTAAAGAGACACAATTACAGGAATAAACATATGACCAAGGAAGCAAAGGACAAAAATCACTGAAAATGATGAAGTCAAGTAACTAGAGACCAAAGGATTTGAATCCCTAAAAAATGATGGCAGGAGTAATAGAAGAGAACAGGGTGCTGGAATTGCTGCAAGGATGAGGCAGAGGGGCTCAGAGAACTTCTGGTGACTGTACAAAGGATGGGTAGCAGGAAGTTGAGTTTATTGGTATGACTTCAAGGAGCTGCGGACTATAGGCAGGAACAGCTATCTACAGCAGGGGTCCCCAACCCCTGAGCCAGGGACTGGTACCAGCCAGTGGCCTGTTAAGAACGGGACTGCACAGCAGGAGGTGAGCAGTGGGCGAGCCTGAGCTTCGCCTCCACCTGTCCGTGGTAAAATTGTTTTCCACAAAACCGATCCTTGGTGCAAAAAGGTTGGGGACCACTGATCTAGAGCACTAAGGAGCCCACCCTGTCACAGGAGAGCAAAAGCCCAGCCACCACACAAGTAGCCTCAGGAAAAGCAGATCTTTCAATCAGAAGAAGAAGAAAAAGCGCAGAGAAGAGGCTGAAGACAGAAAGGCTTCAATGACTGACTGTGAGTGCAGAGGGCGCTGCAAAGAAGCCTGGGAGCTAGAGTTCAAGGCCACATACGTAGGTGACGGCTTGGTTGCCCCTGAGGTTCAAAGAGCATCCCCTGTATATTGGGTTTCTTATTGTCCCCCAAAGTGTACTCAGGCTTTCGGGTCCAACTCCACGGCCCCAGGCTCCCACTCTCAGTCCTTCATCTTCACCCCAGGGCTACAGCCACCATGAGGGTCCTCTTCTAGCTGCACAGACTGACCGTCCAGTGTTGCAAACCTTAGCACAGAAAGGCAAAGGCCGTGGGAGCTGGAGCCTGCGTGTGGGGGGCAGTGGCAGAGGTGTGGCCGGGGGAGAGCCTTGATTAGCGAGAAGTAGATTGAGGTGACACGGTGGTGAGAGCGATTTGCCCTTTCATTTTCGGGAAAGGCTTTTGGGACACAGCTAGTTAGCAGGGACATGGACTAATCAGCATTTTTAAGATCATGGTTCTCAAACCACGTTTAGCTGGCGGCGGACTTGGAAACCTGCTTTGCCCAACACTAAGAAATAGGGATCATGGCACATGTATTGAAATGAAATATATTTTAACTTTCAGATGGCATATTTCAAAGCAATTTAGTTAAATGTATATACTGTATCAAAGGTGGTAAATAAATGCCAACTGAGTGTCTAGAACACTGTTGAAGACAGACAGCGAGGCCTGGTCCCGTGGGCAAAAATCCCATGATCAGTTACTAACGCCTGCCCCAGGCGGGGACATGGCGAATGCTCCTGCTCTGTGTGTGTGCGCATCAACTGAGCTCGGCGTGTTTCCACAAATGAGAAGCTGTGGACTGAAATATGGCTAGTTATTTTTAAGGCTCCCTATAGAGCAGGGGCTGGCAAATGGTGACTTATGGGCCAAACCCAGCCACACCCAATCATATATATAGTCTATGCTGCTTTCGTGCTACAGGGGCAAAGTTGAATGGTTGTGACGGAGGCCGTGTGGCCCACAGAACCTAAAATACATCCTATCTGACCCCTTTCCGGCCTTAGCTTGTCAGCTCCTGAAAGGTAAGAACCAACCAGTAGAGTTGACTCTTGCTGGGCCTCATGAGCTAAGTGCATAACTGAGAACCACTGTGTGGTGAGACTCAGCGTAAAGTCTAAAAGGCCAAACGCAAGCTAACAGGAACAGAAAAGAGAGAATAGTGGGAACATGAAGAGAAAAGCATCAAATGTGATGTGTCTTAAGTTCTCTCTTGCTCTTTTTTCTAGATGTGTCTCAGGTACGTATCTTGCCTTAGTCTCACCTCCAACAGAGGAAGGTGCATCGTGTTTGCCTAAGATTTTTAACAACAGAACATAAATGCAACGTACCTTCATAGTGGATGTTCTTTTCCTTCAGAGCCCTCAGCGCAGGGGTCAGGCAGGAGCTTCCCAGAATTTTGATGCTGGGGAGGAGAGAATAACAGTTCAGACTAGGTCTTCCCCTGAATCATTCCTGACTTCCATCCTTCCGGAATTAATCATGGATGGTCACAGCATAGGAAATACAGTCAGTAATACTGTAATAACTATGTACCGTGTCAGATGGGCACTAGACTTATCGGGATGATCACTTCATAAGGCAAATAAATGTCTAATCGCTGTGTTGTACACTTGAAACTAAAAATATCGCATGTCAACTGTAATTGAAAAATACATTAAAAAAATTATTTACGGAGTTCTTGGTGGTGTGGTTCCTGCTAATAGGCCTGTGCTTCTAAAGCACTCACATTTTAACACTTCTTACTTACCTGTGGTGCTTCTATAAGCAAAATGCCAAAGATGAATGGTGAGGGATGAGGAGAGGGTCCCCAAGGGGAGGACAGCCTTTTACTGCTCTGTGCTCGCCCTGTCAAAATCCTAATTATTTTAAATACAACACTTGGTACGTCTCCAAAAAAAAAGTTGAGTGATCATAGTGAAGTAAAAGAACATCCTATCCCCCTCTTAGAAGTCTCCAATTCTTGGACCACCGTGGGGCTCTGAGGAGTGCTGCGTTATAGAAACCGGCTTAACCAAGGGTTTTCCAGTCTTCTGTCTTCTTAGAATACTCACCTCTGAGCCTTGCCTCAAAAGTGCTCCACACGAGACAAGCAAGGAGGGGCGGGAGGGAAGGCTAAGGATCGCTCGTGCTCGTCTTTTCCCTCTATCAGGAGGCGCGCTGGCGGACCTGGATAACACATTCGTCTTCCAGTGCCCGCTGGGCTCGTTCCCAGCTTGGCCTCCTTCCCCTTCCACTCCCCGCTCTCTCCACCTCCATGACACACAGCCCAGAAGCAAGTCAGTGGTAAAGGCATGAATAAGGCTAGAATCAGACTTACTTTCTAAAAGGGAGACAGATTCTTGAGGTCAACATCTTCCAGCCGTCAGAAGAAAGGCTCACCCCTCAATTCGTGTTCTTAACTCCACCACCTTCTTCCGAGAAAATAGTCTGTGCTGCTTTGGGGGAGGGGGGGAATGGTCAAGACAAGGGGTAAACAACACTATGACCCAGAGACCAGTCATGTCTGCAGCCACCCATTGTTGGCAATAAAGTTTTACTGGAACACAACCCTTGCTCATGTGTCTATGTATTACCTGTGGCTACTCTTCCATTACAAGGGCAGAGTCGCTTGGTTGCAACAGGAGCCCTATGGCCCGTAAAGCGTAAATATTTACTGCATGGGCCTTGATAGAAAAAGTTTGCCAGCCCCTGGCCAAGACCAGCGTCAGCCGTCTTTTTGCCCTCAGATGCCCTGATGCTTTTATGCCCAGAAATTCTGGATGACCACTCAAGATGTTCACCCCCACGAACAGAAATGGCCTTCTGAGCCACTTCCAAGATGCCCAAAAGGTGGCAGGAAAGGAAGGAGAGTGAATTCATTTATAGCAGAGAGAGGAAGTACAGAACACAGTGTCACCCTTGCGCCACCCCCCCCACCAGGTGCCCTGCCACGGATGATGTCCTTGTTACCACGGCACTGGAGCAGACGCCCTGGCAAGGCCCAGAACCCTGGGGAAACAAGAGAGCCAAGCGGAGGAGACTCACTCACAGAGTCAGAAATACAGTGTCCAATGACTCAGGGAGCTCTTAAATACCCCCAACATACGATGCAACATGGAATGAGTCTTACCTTCTTTATCTGGTACTAAGCACATAGCCAAGCCTCAGATCAGCATCCAGCAAACTCTGGAGTCAAGAAAGGAGAAGGGGCCCCAGCTGCAAGAAAAGGGAGATTGAACCATCACTCTAAATCTAAACACAGTGAAACAAGGCTTTCTGTAACATCCCTCTACCTCCACCCAACTCTTGTCTCCCTCTTGGCCTCATCTCCGCTCATTACCGGGGCTTCTGTGTGGGACTGAGACCCTCCTGTAAGGGGAGGCTAATGAGACAGAACAGGCGGGGGAGGCAGATTGCTAGAGCAGGCAGGAGTGGGTGCTCTGGAACCCGAACATTGGCGTTCGGTTGCCATTCTGTCATTTTCTTTCCTGTGTGATCTTGGGCGCATGATGTCATACCCAGCAGTTCATGCTCCATTAAAACAAAGCGAATGATTGTCCCTACATCCTCAGGTGGCTTAAGAGATGAAATGAGATGTTACGGATAAAGCACCTGGCGAATAACAGCAGGCTAACGTGCTGTGTACATTTGTCATCCCCGCTCCCTCCTGGTGGGCTCAGGAGGGCTCACCCTCAGAGATAACAACCCAGGCACGACCCTCTGAGCCTTATTCAGCTGCCTATTTGACACCTACACCTGAGTTGCTAAATGGAGCTGGAGAAAAACACCCAGCTGAGCTAACCGGTCTCATTAAAATTCACACTGAGCAACTTCAAGGGGCCCTCAGTGCCGCCCAGCAATTCTGCTGTTTCCCATGTCCCCTCCCCCTCTCTCAGCTGATAACCTTGCTTTGTAGTTCGCTGAGACATTGAAATTGCCAGGGGAGAGTTGCCATATGCTCTGGGACAGCACCTTCCACATCAGCATGCACTCGACACTCCCACTCACTTAGACATCTCCAGATCATCTTGCCCAGAAATGAATGTGACGACTCCAACCTTCCACTCACACCAGAGAAAGATCCACCCTCGCTGACTCCTATTTTTCTCTCCCTGCTTCACAGTTGATCCATCCACAAGTCCTATCAATTCTCCCTCCAAACGTGAAGAATCTGATCACTTCCCTCCGCCGTGGCACGCTCCCTGGTCCACACCATCGTGTACCATCCAGGTTATGCCTGGTCTCCCCGCCCTTGGCCTCACACTGACACACCACCACACAGCAGACTCAGGGATGCTTTGCGTGAAGCCTCTTCTCCATCCTCAGAACAAAGGGCTCGTGTGAACTGGTCATCTGCCCCACTCTGGGCAGCACGCCAAGGGTATTTTGTTTACTGCTCTATCCCAAGCACGTAGCAGTCATTCAATAAATAGTTGTGGCCTGAATGGTATCCTCTGATACCTGTTAATACGAATCCGCCCCTGAATGGGCCCTGCACCATGCCACTGTGCACCTACGCCAGCCTGTTTGGGTCATTGAACCATATACGCAGGTCACCAACCCATCCTAATGTCCACGGCTGGAAAGGGCTGAGCCTGGATTCGGACAGGGACCATCTGGATCAAGGCACATTTACACTGAAAGAATTAACATCTCATGTCAAAAGAGGGAGTATTCACAGAAATCATCATTTCTTTAAAATAACTGACTCTGTTGATGTATTTCTTCCTCAGGTTCATGACTACCTCCGCAGCAAGCTGTGCTCCCTCTATGAAAACGACTGCATTTTTGATAAATTCGAGTGTGTGTGGAATGGGTCAGACAGGTAAGAAGGGCTCTGTGGCTGGGGAGCCTCCCAAAGGCGGGGCTTCTCCTGGCGGAGGCCCCGGGTGGTTTACTTGCAGTGGGGTGCAGCCAAAGGGATGTCAAGGCCAGGCGCCAAGGCCCGGCAGGGATGCCTTGTGTGGTCACTGGACGACCCTGTGGTCAGACCTGGAAAGAGAGGGGAGTGTATAGGGAGACCCCTGAATCCTCTTCCAGGGCAAGTGCACACGATCAATTGACATGAATGAGAAAATCCTATGCTGTACACACAGGACATCCCAGAGTGAACTAGGCCAGCATGCCTAAAATGAAGATCAGTAATAATCCACCAGCAACTTCCAGCATGAATAGTTCACATGACTGCAAATTCTCTAGATCGAAAACCATTTCTTAAAGCCACTAGTACAGACTTGGCCAAAGGCCCCAGTGGTTCATTAGCTGAATTCTAGCTGGCCCCATTTATCACATGCCCTCAACATGATTTATTACTGTTTTAAGGCCTTTGATTTCAGCAATACTTCATATTACCTCCCAATAGTTCTTTTTGAGTTTGACAAATACAGATGATTCTCTGACTTGCTGGAGAAGCCAGCGCAGGCTACCAGGGGCTGGTCCCCCATGAAGGCGGCCCCAGCAATGCAGCGGCGCCCAGCAGCACAGAAATTCAGTCACGGCAGAGCACTCAGGGATTCACGCCTGTAGTGAGCGCGCGCTGCCTCTGCCCCTTGCTTTGCATTCTTTCCCAATGAACCAAAGAGCCCTCCGCTTAGCAGGCCTGGGAGGAATCACCACATGTCAGAGGCCCAAGTCACACCATCCAACTGGTATAGGATGGGGAGAGAGAGAGCAAAGCAGTTGTGATATGTGAACAAAAGCTCTCACAGGGAAAAGAAGGTAGCCCCAGCCCCGTTATTTTATTACGTATTAATTATAGATATTTGTTATTTGTGTGTGTGTCGTCATTGCTCTCACTCCCCCTCTATCTTAGCCTAGATTCAAAAACTACACTTACTACGCCCCTATTATGTACCAGGCACCTTCACGCACATTGTTATTTAATCCTGACCGTGACCCGGCGGGGCCGTTGTCATCTTCCCCATTTGACAGTTGAGGAAGCTGAGGCTCAGCAAGGTACCGTAACCTGCCCGAGCCTCACGCACAGTCGGTAGGAGAGACAAGAGTAACAAGTTTGGAGTTTGAATCCTAAGATCAACTTTCTCTCCCTAACATCGCTGTTGGAAAATGTTATTCTTGGTTCAAATAAGGTTGAGGATATTTTTTTTCCCAAAAAGACTTTCTCTTACTGCTTAAGAACCTGCCGGGTCCTGGCTGCAAGAAGCGGGCACGCGCGCATGGGAAGCAGTGAGGCCGGTGGCTGAGTGCCCGTGCCCCGGAGTCAGGCAGGTGTGGGTTGGAGGCCCGGCTCTGTCACTTACTAGCAGCGTGACTCTGCGTCAGGTTCCTCACATCTCGTGTGTAAATCTCCTCTAGGGGATGACGGAAGCTGAAACGAGATGTCAGGGGTAAAGCACCCAGCACCCTGCCTGACAAGGAAATAACAGCTCACTTTGCTGTGCAGACAAACGCATCAGCTTCCTGGGCCGAATAACAACATCCAACCTCGGCCTTGATGAATTTGCTTGGCACAGCTGACGGAGGACCCCAAAGCTTACCCCTTCACTGTGGCCCATCTCGTCACACACGCAAGTCACAAAAACCGATGAGACGCTGGGCTCTGCCATCCTAACCAGCCTGTGAGAGCTTCAGTGGCCTCTCGGGGGGCAGCCACCGAGGAGTGTTACACCAGCAGTGCCACCTCCCCACAGCCTGTCACCACGTCCAAACTGTCACCATTAAAGATTCAGTCCCTTGCTTCCGGAGGCTTTTGGCATTCACTGCTCTCCTGATCGATCGCAGATACGCCGGAGAATGGATAACTTCTGCATAATGCAGAAACCGTCCAGCAGTCCACTAGAAAATCTTATTTCCCCTTCCCAAATCTTTTCAAAATGTGAATTTGTTTACCCTCTTCCCAAGTGAGCCCGTAATGACTTGCATTTTTTTAGATGAGTTTTCTGAAAAGGCTGGATTTAGAGGTGGTGCTTAGCAGGGGGAGGACATGCCAGGTCAGCGAGCCGTACTGTCCGCATTTGTCCGTGTGCGGGCGATAACGCCGTTGTGGTCAGCCTTAAATATGCAAATGCATCACTTTTCCAAGCGCTCCTGCCTTCCTAACCTTGCCCCCGCCCCCCCACAATCCCTGTCAGGTAAGTAGGGCCACGATCATCCAAACCTCTTTTTTACTGAGCCCAAGAACTAAAAGGCACCTACAGAAGAGAAGTAATTAACAAGGAGGGTTATCACGATCCTTGTTTCCCATCCCAGCCCAAGAACTTGTTGTTCTAACTTCAAAGGAAGTCACTAGTCACACTATAGAGCCTGTTCGGTTATTCATTTTTAACAAACATGCGGTGCCATGAACATGCCACAGAGCGGTGGTGTTTGCTCTAGAAAGTCACCGTAAGGATGTGTTTCTGCCCTTCCCCGTAGCGCTCAGTGGCTTCCTATTCCCTCTCTGCCTTACAGCGTCATCATGACCGGCTCCTACAACAACTTCTTCAGGATGTTTGACCGCAACACCAAGCGCGACGTCACCCTGGAGGCCTCGAGGGAAAACAGCAAACCCCGAGCTATCCTGAAACCACGGAAAGTGTGCGTGGGGGGCAAGCGGAGGAAAGACGAGATCAGCGTCGACAGTCTGGACTTTAGCAAAAAGATCTTGCATACAGCTTGGCATCCTTCAGAAAATATTATAGCAGTGGCGGCCACAAATAACCTATATATATTCCAGGACAAGGTTAACTAGGAGGACAAGTTATTATTACTTAATAATCTCACATACTGAATACTAGTCAAACAAGTTTTTAAATGTTTCTTTGGGTCTTCATTTGATGCATTGACTTTACTTTCCCTACACAGAAAGCAACTGGGAGAGGATTAAACGGAGTCCAACTTTCCCAGATCCCCAGTTCTAAGAAACTTTTGTCCAACCCAATAGGCCCCGGGACACTTCTGTTTAGAATTGAGAGCTACCAGCTAACAGTAATTCTTCCATAGTTGACCTGAATTTCTGATGCTTTTATTGCCCGGTTTTCTCTGGTGGGTCCAGTGTTTTGTTTCTAGGTGTCTGCTGAGATAAAATGAGGTTGTCTGTAGTATTTAAAGCGAAAAGAGATAAGTTTTTTTTTAATTAAGCAATTCCCTTTGATTGAAAAATTCAACAAAAAATAAACACCGTTTACTCTACTCTTAGAGAAATGCTCCTTGTTTTGTGAAAAACCAGAATGCTTCAGCACCTCCTGCCCCAGAGCATTTTTCTTTTTTTGTTTTGCCATTTTCTTTGTAACAATTTCATTTGAGCCAGAGAGATTTATCTCACGAGGCTGTGAAGGGGATGCAGAATGAGACGGGAAAGACCACATCAACATGGCTACGCTGTTTTTCTCTAAGTGCCATAGAAACAGCCTGAGAATTTGGCTAGGGAACACCGTGAATGCTTCAGGGGACAGAAGGAGACCTCTTTCCACGCAGCGCTTCTCAGAGTTAGCTTGGCAAGGCCTCATGGGGCCAGATTTCATCTGCTGCTCTGTTACTCTTGCTTTTTGTCATTTTAAATGGCTCCCCATAATCCTCTACTTACACGTCCCCTGGCTTTTTCTCTTTACCCTTTTCCAGGAAAGCTTATTTATTCCACTGACTTCTAAAGGCTGAGTCCTGGTTGTTTATTAGCTGGCTCCCTGAGCAAGGCTGGCCCGTCCTTTCCGGGTGTGTCTCCTGAGCAGGCCCCCTCCCCTCTTGCTGGGTTTGGTAACCAACAGTAACAAGCCATCCATCACTATAGCTAGAACAAGCGCGGCCAATGACAATGCTGATGTGTAAAGTCTAATCGAGCACTTCTAACCCTCCCCAAGCTTGCCTTCTGGGAAAACAGACCCAAGGGCCCTCTTCCTGTAAAAATGGAGTCTGGGGGAGTAGGAAAGCTTTGACATTGGAGTGAAGTCTGCCTGAACCTGGGGAGGCTGGTTCATCCTTCCCCCAAGTTGAAGATTCAGACTTCAAAGTTCCCGAAGGTTCTACCTGGCATGCCTCTAAGACCGCTACACAATGAATTCAAAGGGCAGATAAATTTAAAGAGGAAGCTCGGGCAGGAGGTAGGAGGTACCAGAAAGCGGGGTCTGGGCTCGGGGTCCACAGTCCCTGTCATGGTGCCTCATTGCCCTGAACTTCCATTTAGCAGGTAGGAAATTGCTTGAAATGAGAATTTTCCTTTTACAGAGGTTATTTTCTTTTACTTTGTGTATTTATTCCATGTCCCAGCTTTCAAGTGTACTTTGTTTTGGAGGAGGTAAGAAATAGTAAAAGAACCATATTCCAATGCTAAGCTACTAACCAATTAATAACGGCTTTAGGGCAAGGCAGGAACTGTCTACTCAAGTGAACACAATTCTGTAAGGCAGCCCAATTTCAGAAACATTAAAACATGAAAAAGTACATCTCAAAATGGAACAAGCATGCAGTTGAAGACATGACTTTCCCCACAGTGTTTCTCATTTTCCCTGCAGAGAAATCCTCCGGGCCAGCAATGCAAGTGGGCAGCCCAGGCAGACGCCCTCTGAGCGGGATTTTCGGCCTGACGGGGGCAACATTCTTGGAGGAGACCCGAAAGAGCATCAGAAACTTCTCCAGCTCCCAGAGAACTGTGATATCAGGATACATAAAGACCAAGGAGTTGTCCTAAATTTATTGTCCGCTCCTTCGGTGGCTTTTGCTCTGCTTCTCCAAGAATCAGCTCCTGGGGGTACCAGGTGGGGGTTGGGACAGATCATGGTTTCTCACATTTGAGCGTCAACCCACCTCTCTATTATTGCTTATTTAACATTATCCGAGTTGCCTTTTAAAAGCAAGACAGCCTCCTCAAAAAAAAAAAAAAAATACTATTTAGGAAATACCAGTTTTAATGGACCAGTTATTTCTTCTAACGTTAAAACAACTACAAAACCATGCATATATCAAACATGCACCCACGCACCACCTACAGCACGCCTTTCGAACCCTGCGGAAGCTGACATCACAGACCATTTAAGCTATGGAGGCCTCAGAGAGCCTCAAAGGACAGTGGTCCTTCACACACTGGCGTCAGGAGTGCTGCCCAGAACACATGAACGACTGTGGCCAGGGCTTGATGGCGTCCACAGGCTCCCTGCGGCCTGTCTGCGAACCCCCCATGGAACCCCCGCACACGGACGTACAGGGAGATCCAGAGTGGGAAGACTTTGCCGAAGACCTCGGAACAGCCCTCCTCACCTTGACCGCGCACAAAGGACACACCAGAACCAACAAGCTCAGGCCTCAGCCGGCAACCACCCCCACATTTCATCAGCTCTGTGCCAGGGACCAGCGGGGGCACTTAACAGTCACCATCTCCTTCTGCCCAGGGCTGGTGATTTGCTTAGTTGGTGGCACCTGGAGGTAAGTCCCTTTTCCAGCCGACACTAGCAGCTACTTGGAAGCCGACGTGCCACCTTTTCAACAGCTTGTTGGATTCTAAGGAGCCCACACTGCTCTGCCCTCCAAGGCCTGCGGCTCAGCACAAACCATCAGCTTTCCCTGGAGCGTGTCACTTGACTGCGGGGGAATGGGAGCCACTGCTTCCTGGGGTTTTATTAAAATCACCCTAAATGCTTTTGGGGGAGATGCTGTACTCCCTAAAGGTGGAACATGTGAGTGAGTCTTTAAAGGACCCTGACCTTAAATGTTCAGGCTTTAATAAAATACACATATTTTATCCCAAGTTTATAATGGTAGCCTGAAAAGGGCACCTATAAATAAATCAGCATTTATGACCAAAAGAAAACTAACCTGGTTTTGGAATTTTTATATGGAAACGTTGTAAAACCTTAAGCCAACTAATTCTACCCACAAAGAAAAAACATTTCCTTATCCCTTACGGACAGTCACATGAAATCAATATTTGTTGGCGCAAAGAAAGTCTAACGATGAAAGAAATCAGCTAAAAAAAAAAAAAATCACCCTAAATGCAACAGTCAGTCCCTGGCATTCAAAAACAAGCAACTGGAAATCTGAACTCTGGCAAATATGCATGCTTTCTTATTCAGGGAAGGAAAATGAGTTGGAAGAAACAAAGAAGGAAAACAAGCTGGCATGAAGAAGTGAGCTATACAGTGAATAGGCAGTAGGAAACCATTTGCTTCTCAACTCCTTAATGTCTGGCTCCTGCCTTTTCTATTGGGGAAAAAAAAAATGCATCTCTAAACCCCTCATTGACCTTATAATTAACCAGATCAGCGTGTACGAGGCAACCAGCAGGTGTAAGGCTGAGCAATTGTCATGTGGAGAACAAAGATGAAGCTAAAATTCTTTTAGCTCGGTGACCTGATGAAAGAAGTCAGCTGTCTCTAATGTATTCCTTTTGAACATTCCAGCACCCATTATGATAAAAGTAAAACCCTGGAATACTCAATGGCCGAGAACATGGGAGATCATCATATCCCTTACTTCAAATTTGCAAAGAAATTGCCTAAAACTTCCCTCTCACCCTTCTACCATCACCCCCGATTCCTTTTTCAGTCCCTCTGCTGACTGCCTGCAGGGCCCAAGAAAGCCCTAGAAGGCCTATGACAAGGCTTTGGGGGTGACATTAGAGTCCACATCCAGAACAAGAGAACTCTTTCTAATTTGCCCTCTTCTGGTATGGACACGTGTAGATGAGGCTGGTGGGTTCTAAACAATGCCCCCCAAAACACAGCAACCCCCGATTCACCACTGGAAACATTCACACGGCAGCCTGATTCTTAGTGTACCACCTTGTCCCCCTGTACTCCTAGGTCAAGTCTCAGGAACTGCTTTCCATGGAAGGAGCTGGCCTGGCCAATGGAAAGACATGGAACTAGGAGACAGAAAACATGGGTCCTGCTCCTGGCTCTGCTTCTACCTCACTGAGAAACATGGGCAAGACACTCAGTCCCTACATCGGTCATGTCACCTACAAGGTGGTCAGAAAGCTGTCTGTCCTAAGCTCACAAAATTATCATGAGGTCACAACTTACAAGTGCTTCAATAAGTTTAAAGGACCATAAAGTAATAGCAGCTACAACAGTCACTGAGGATCTATTAGTGGTTTCTCATGATCTGCTTCCCTTCACCCCAGGAGGTCAATGCCAGCATTAGTCCCACCTTGCGAATGAGGAAATAGACTCGCATGGCCAAGCTGGCCAAGGGCATATAGTCAGTAAGAGATGGGACCAGGTTCTCCAACACAAGGTTTCTGACTCCAGAGCTCTTAAAATGCTGTCCCTAATATGCAGTAGTAGCAAATACTGACTGAGCACTTATTATGGACCAGGCTTTATTCCCTCAAATTTCACATGTATTAATTCATTTACCCTCAAAACTCTACATGCTATGATGGTTCCCGTTTTGCAGATAACTAAACTGAGAGAAATTATATAACTTGACTAAGTTTACACTGTTCACAAGTGACAGAGCCAGACATTTTGGTCAAAACTCTTCTACCCCCCATCTCTCATTTTACCGATAAAAATATAAATATAAATATAAATATAGCTAGGGGGAGAGAGAGAGAGGATAGAAATGGAAGTTGCTGATTAGAAAACTCGTCCCAGTAATGACCCTAAGCTCATCAGCATCGAATATCCACAGAGTGCCTGGTTGGTGTCAGGCAACCAAGCCCAAGCAAGGGCTGAAGTTCCTGAAATGTATAGGCCACTCACCCTTTCAACTCGAGGACTTGACAGCTGTGTAAGAGCCTATATACGTTGTAAATATATTTTGGGTCCAATGAGGTCCATGTGAAGCCCAGAAACAGTAAAGAGAGAGAAATGGTTAATCAGGACTGAAGGGAGGTTTCTCAGAATGAGCGACATCTAAGCAGAGCCTTAAAGCAGGTCACTCATGAGACAAAGCATGCTACGGCGTCTCCAACAGAGAGCGCGTCACAGAGGAGGGCCTGAGACGGGCACAGCCGCACAGACACGGCGCAGCAGCACAAAATGAGTGCTTCCCTAATGCGATTAGAAACACTTTTACCAGAATTGGCCTGGCCCCTCTTTCTTTCATCCTTCCAATAACAAATGTTTATGAAGCCTCCATATCCAGGCACTGTATTTAAATATAAAATAAATATAAAGAATAATAGAACACCATATATACTTGTTAAGTGACAGGCATTGGGTTAGGCACTTTTTAAAATTACGGTCACCTGGTGGGTAAATATATTA